CCTGAAAGTAAGATGTTTTGATATGGGGATCCCAATCGGTCCTTCATTTGGTATATGGACCAAGGTACCTTCTTGGCCTTTTGGCTAAGATCAAGTGTAGTAGTCTTCATTGTTCAACACCCCCCCCCCCCCGGGGGAAAGGCCACTGGTGTTGCGAAGTGTCATTCGAAGACAAGCTAGAACGTGTCCCTCCCTGCCCCTCCCCAATCTCACCGGTCATTTCCTGGCATCCACGCTCGGTATCCATGAGGGCGTCTGTGAGGTCTCGCTGGTTGATGGCCGCCGTCTCAGCTGGGGGACAGGTGGGCAGAGAAGCTGGGCTCTCGGACAACTAGCAGAGCACAAAAAGGTGACACTTAAAGCACGTACTCTGGGATAGCAATTATAAATTGACAATGGCAACTACCGTATTTTTCAGACTATAAGACGCAGTGGTGTATAAGACGCACCAAGATTTCAAAGAGGTATGTAAGAAAAAAATGGTTTTTGTCCTCCCCAGCCCCCAGGAGCACTCTGCAGGCTTCAACAGGGCTGGGGGAAGGCAAAAATGCCCCCGTTTTTACAAAAAACAGGTGGAAAATGGGCCGTTTTTTTTGCAAAAATGGGGGCATTTTTGCCTTACCTACCTACTGTATTTCTCTCTCTTTCTCTCCCTCTCTATCCCTCTATCTACCTACCTACTTTTTTTAAAAATTGCCTCTTCAAAACCTGGGTGCATCTTATACTCTGGTGCATCTTATACTCTGAAAAATGCGATATATCCATTACATAGGGGCAGGTAGTCAGATTACCTGTTTGTTGGTCCTGTCTTTTATATAATTACTAATCATACAAATACATATCCGATTTATGCCTATCACACATTCTTAATACCATATTTTCCAATTCTTAACTTATCTGTGTTTTTCTGTCCCGGCCTTTTTCCCTTGTTTCTAACCATAGGTACCATTTGTCCCAGACTTTGTGATATTCCCTTGTCTTTGAGCTCTAGTCAGGCTCAGTCGTGGGTTTCGGACGATACAGTATGGGGGTACCGGTGGCAGCTGGGAGCAGTGGCCACCATACCGGAACAGTGACTTGTTGGGCTCACCCAGCTGCCTGCATTCCTTACTGCTTTTTGAGTGAAAGGGGCCAATTGTGCACGTGTGCACAGCGTACGACGCCTGTGCGACCTCCAGTGAGCAGCTGGGGCGTCGCAGGGCGGTGGCCTGCGCATGTGCATGTGCCCGAGGTGGACGCTTGGCCCTGATGCAGCGTACCAGTTGCGATGGGATCCGGAACCCACCACTGCCAGACAACACACTGTTCACAAAGCACTTATGCGTGTATAAGAAAAAAAAGTATAAATAAATACAGTGTACGCCAAGCGATGGGACAGTGATTATTTGAGACCAGTTTCTTCCAACTCAACAGGAATTCCTTTCAACCTTGGTCACATGCAGGAAGTCTTCCACATATGACCACAATTGTGCCCAAAATCTCTATTGCTAAGTGAGATAGTTGTTAAGTGAATTTTGTCCCATGTGTCAACCTTCCTTGCTGAAGTTGTTAAATTAGCAATTCGGTTGTTAAGCGAATCTGGACTTGGTTGGTCAGAAGGTCAGAAAAGAGGATCACATCACACACACACACACACAAACACACACACACTTGGACACTGCGACCGTCATAAATGTGAGCCAGTTGGCAAGCTTCTGGATTTTGGTCACGCAACCATAAGGATCGTAAGTATGAAAAATGGTCATAAGTCTCTTCTTTCAGTGTTAACTTCAAATGATCACTAAACAAACTGTTGTAAATCGAGGACTAGATGTTCCAACGTGGCTCTCTTAATAAATTGGAACTTTGAGGAATCCTTTGCCTCGGACCAGTTGTGGGATGCTCCTACTGCCGCTACCGGTACGCTGCCTGTGGTCCGTTCGTGCACGGGTCGGACATGCGCTGCGCATGCATGCACACTCCACTGCCCCTGCGACACCCAGCTGCTCGTTGGAGGTCGCCCAGGCGCCGTACACTGTGCGTGCATGCTCAATTGGCCCGGTTGCTTCAAAAACAGGTATGGAACGTGGGCAGGCGGGTGGGCCAAACGAAGCACTGCACCAGTACGGTGGCCGCTGCTCCTGACTACTACTGGTACGGCCGAACCAGGCCGTACCGGCTGGAACCCACCACTGCCTCAGACTCTGATTTAATTTTGGATGCTATTTGGAACCCCAACCCCTGCTTAGCAGCAGAAATTCTGGGCCCAATTATGGTCGTACATTGAGGATGCAAACTTAGTCAGAGAGTCCCACCCACCCACCCCTTTGGACTCACCTGCACCTTCTGCCCCGCAATCTCAGTGGGGCTGTCGTGCCGAGGGGGTGGGTGCTGGTCCCCTTTGTTGACCACGTACTGGATGAGGTTGGCAAGGGCGGCACAAGAGTCAGCGCAGGTGTGGATGTGCACCACGTTGTTGGAGCAGCGGAGCTCGAAGAGGGGCCGGGTCTGCCCCAGGGGGAGGAGGGGGGGGGGGGGGGAGAGACAAACAGAAGGCAAGTCACTTTGACAGCAGGGAGCCCCAGATTTCCACCAAACAGTTCAGACGGTGTTGCTGGACCTTGGAGATTTGGAAAATGTGTGGACTTCAATTCCCAGAATACCAGAATCTGGAAACATGCTGGCTAGGGGATTCTGGGAGTTGAAGTCCTCCCATCTTAAAGCATGCTGGCTGGGGAATTCTGGGAGTTATAGCAGTGGACTTATATACCGCTTCATAGGGCTTTCAGCCCTCTCTAAGCGGTTTACAGAGAGTCAGCATATTGCCCCCAACAATCTGGGTCCTCATTTTACCCACCTCGGAAGGATGGAAGGCTGAGTCAACCCTGA